ATGGTGTTGACTCCAAAAATGAATTGAAGTAGAGATTTATAGTAACTAAGTACCTTTACTTAGTTACAGTACTTAAGTCATTTGTTTGAGGATTTGTAATTTTACAAAGTATTTTTAAATCATTACTTTGACTTTTATTTTGTTACTTTTAAAACCTAAAAATGATACTTTTACTTCTTTACTTTAAAGTTTAACACCTACTTGTTACAAATGAAATCTGTCTGAACTCATCATGAAAGTTGTTTATGTGCTCTAAAAAATTTAAGTGTTGAATTTACTCAACTAAGTCATGTCAACTACTTCCATTAAACCCAGTAGAGTCAATCTGAGGCAGTATTTMATTTTAAAGAAATTGACCAATTTACTCAACTTGGTTTTGTGGAGCCAGTTTTGTTCAGTAAATTTAGCAGTTTATTTGTTAGAGAGCATGGAAAAGTACTTTTACTTTTACTTTTCCAATTTTTGTGAACAGTTTTATGACTTTAACTTATCGGTAAGTACTTTTCTCATCAGTGAGATTTTTTTTTTCTCACCAAAGTCATTTTCTGTCACAGTATTTTTACTTTTACTTAGTCAATCTTTTCAAGTACTTTATAGACCTCTGTGTAGATCCACTAAGAGTTTTGTTAAAATTCGTTTTGGTAACAGACACACACATAAACACAAACCCTGCCTTTTGCTTTCCATTGGCAGGCAATAACTACAAAAAACATTTAATTTCACTTGCAACAACAAAAATAAAATAAAATAAAACAACTTTAGGATGGCCACCATAGCCAATCCAGTTTAGCATCCAAAAAATGTTGTTATAAATGCTTCTTTCTGTCAGCTTTTCTAACCAGGCTGACATGGCCTTTAGTTTGAGATTCTGGAGGCTGGGAAGGAKTTTTCTGTGCGTAAACTTTGACAACAGTCCAAGTTAAAAAAATAAAGATTTCCACAAATATTTTTAATCAAACAATAACTCAGAACTCTAAAGGTTTTAATCGGTTTATTGATTTTCCATCACCTTTGACTGAGTTCGTACCATGGATGGACTTTGTAGCTTGTGAAAAGAATGCTGTTACTAATTGTATAGTTGGTAAAAGATTAGTGCTTTCTGCTWAATTGCCAGTTTTACAGCTCACTCATCGGTGTCTGGACCAAACCTTCAGCTGCAGTGTCTCTGACGCTTCAGTGAGAGCACACGGTGTGGTARGGTTTGGGTCTAATAAGCCAACAAAGCTCATTAGGTTTCAGAAAGCTTTYAATGCAGTTTGACTAAGCTGCCAGCAGCAGAATGAGGTTCACAGGTCAAAACAGAGAAAACAATGCTGTGCAGAGGTGAGCAGATTGGATTAGGTGGACTTTGAGTCTTAGTAATCAGAATATCCCACAGGTATAATGTAGCTCTGTACCTTCAGCATCTTACATAAGCTAAGACAAACAAAGCTAACCGCCGCTGATAAAACGAACCCTGAGACGCCTAATGTGCCTGCATCTCATATTTCAGCATTATTCTTCTCCTGTTTTCCTTAGAAGAAAATCTCCTATTTGAAAGGTGATTAACAGAAAATTCTCATTATTTTACAATTCGAGAGCTTTGAATAAATTTAAGAATTTAAGGTTAGTTCAGATCTTTTGACCTGGAAAGGAAAAACTTGGTAAACAAAATGGATAAAAGAATGGATGGATATACGTTTTTCTTCATCGGCACAATTCAGACAAAAATACTGAAATGTCCATGCTGGGCATTTTCCCTTTGTTTTTTTTTTTTTTTTAACCATTTAAGCATGGGATTAACATTTAAAAGAGACAAAATAGGCTCCAACATTGTTAGTTTAAAAAAGTTCCATGTTTCACATCAACAAAAATTAGTTTTTCAAAATTTCTTCTTCGAAAAGTATTTATCAAGATTTCAGGTGTTTTTCCTTTTAAGAAGAGTATTTGTCTGTAAAAAAAACTCATCAGAAAATGTCAGTTTTAATAAATTAATAAAATAGCAGTAGCATGTAAGAAAATTCGTGTTCAATAAACTGAAGTCGATATTAAAACCACCATTGTTAAATAAATTGATTTGTAGAAGGAATCAAACCATACAACACCAGAATTCTGGATCTGAGTGAGGTTTATTGTCACCCAAGCTGATAGGAAACCACACTGCCCAAAAACCAGGAAGTTCATGTATTTATACACCTTCTTCAGTGCCTGCGTTCGCCCCCTACTGACCTACGGCTGAATCACAGACATTCAGACAAAATTCTCGCCTACTGTTATCATAACGGTTGATTATGTGTTGTCATATGATTCGGACATGTAACTAATCTATATCAATCAAAACATAATAGATTAAACACTGTCAACATTACAAAAAGGAAAACCTAAAAGTATAGTGTTGTGCTTTTAACATCAGTACTAACCTCTAATAACTTTAAATTTCTTCAAGCAGTTTACAAGCTAGCAGCAAGTCTGACCACATTAAAGACCAAAGTAGATTATTTAGACTTAAAATGTCGCCGGTGTCAAACAATTTGTTGCAATTTCTGCAAATGCTGTTTTACAACACTTTACACCATTTAGTTTGCTAGGGCAAATATTAGCAGCAGCAGCTAGCTGTGTCAAGAATCTCACAATTTCTCTACCGGATTAAAGAGCAAAAAAGAAAACTGATGTAAAGGGTTGTTTTTGTGTGAACTGTAGCAATCCACTTTGGCCACACTTAGATTAGCCATTAGCTGATGWGAAATAAACTATTTTTCTCTAAACTGAAGTCAAATGAAGTTTTCTGGAACAGGTAAGATAGTAATTGTTCAGAACGTTCAAGTTTCATGYGATTTAGAGACGTTTTACTTTTTAAAGAAAGTAAAAGAAAGTCCCTCAGACCGTTTGGTGTATTTTGCCAAACAGCAGCTTGAGTGATAATTGCAGTCTGGAAGTTGGTGCGTGACCTAAGATAAAGGTGTAATTTAATTTCTCATGCAGCTGTAAAGCTGTGTAATTTACTGTGTGCTCTGCTGTGTCAGGCCCAGTCGACTTGACAGTGACTTTACATATTTACCTGTTACACAACCGTTCACCTCTGTTCAGCTCAGCCCGGCTGTGTGTGTGTGTGTGTGTGTGTGTGTGTGTGTAAACATTACTGAACTTAATGAGTGAGGAGTATTCAGATTCTCACAGAGGAACACGTGAAGAGCAGAGGAAGGTATGATGGAGGTTTCTTTATGTGGTTATAAGGTTTATACAATTTTTATTCAGTTTAAATATATTTTTTGTACAATTTTGCTTTTATCAATTCAGTGCAATGATTCCGTCACTTATTTATTTATTTTTTAGTATTGTTCACTAGTTAAGGGAATACGGAGCCCGCGAGGGGACATGGGAGATTTCTTTTCTTTTGCATTCCCTCGTAATACTTTTTCGTTACCTCACAATACTTTTGCGTTACCTCGCGATATTGTTTTGCGTTCCCARGCAAAAGTTTGWTTTGTATATGAACTGAATTAAATCAGASTTTTATTTTGAAATATCCGGTTACCAAAACAGGARGTGTCYCCACAAGTTCGTGAAATTAACATTGATGTTGCGTGGCTGCACTGTGTTAAAATATCGGCAWATGACATACTGTACTTCCATGCGTGGCTGTGTGATATATTCATTCTGAAGCTGAATTAAAGCAGTAGGCTAA